ATATCTAATTAATTCTTTGTCTCCATAGGGGTAGAGGAGCACTAAATGGTGATGAAAAATAATGGGTTCTCTCATTCTCTCGGTATTGACAAAAGATATCATAATAACCTTTGAATTTGATGTTTGACGTAGAATCATTATAACTACTCATAAGTTGACATTATAAATTAATATAGTTAGTTGATAGTAGATTTAACTATGATAGTGACGTGAACATGACATAAGTTATGTTCAGAGATTGCGACTTTTCAAGAGATGGTAAGTGTTTGAGACTCTTTATGTAAAAATATTTTCTTGAGTTCTAATTACAAAAAGTTTTTTCAAAAACTTTTAAAATACAAAATTAATACATAAAATATATTCAATAAAGATACAATACATTTGGATACAATAATATAAAGTGAATCTTCCTAGCTTACAAAAAAAATCCATACTGATGTACATTAGTGCTACATCGAACACACATGTTCTAATTAATTATTAGAATAGATAAGAACAAATTTTGAAGGAATATAATAATACAAGAGGGTAGAGCAATTTACTTAAACTCGAGATTAAAGTAATGAAACGCTTGCATAAAATATATTTAGTGTTTACCATTACAAGGCTGGCTGGCTTGTCTTGAAAATATAGCTCAAGTTGGGGGAGTAATTTTTCATTTTTTATTGTAAAAAATAAATAAAAAATTATAAATGGAATAATTAGTCAATCATATTCCTAAAAGCATATTCCACTTACAGCGTTGATATGTTCAATCTTTGACAAAATTCAAACTAACCAACGTCACCATAATCAGGTGAGGTGACGGAAGCATCCCCTTGAGTACCTATTGTTATTTTTTCCCCTAATTTCAAGTCTTCGTTCTGATTAATTCAGATCAACTCACGTCACACATCTGATTTTAGTGGGTGAGTTAACCAACAAAATTTTTCTGCATATAACTCAAACTCAAGACCTTATTTAAGCGTTATCAAACTACTTATCAATTGAACCAAGTCTTGTTGGTTGAGTACCTATTATTAATATATGGACATTAATATATGATTAATTTAATATTTATTTCATACAAAATATTTAAATTTTATAAATTGTATAATTTTATCTATTTAAATGATATATATCATATTTAGAATGTAGAGTTTAAGAGATTTAGATATTAGTTTACGTTTAAGATTAAAATAGATAAAGTTATATAAAATAAATATTGCACAGCTATATATCAAATAATTTTTTATATTATAAATATATAAATGTATTTGGGTTCATATAATAATATACTAGCATATAGGGCTTAATATAATACATATAGTTTGCTTGTATTAAAGCTTTGGGGATGGGAATTGTAAATTTTTAAACAAATTAGAAATGATGAAGATGTTGCACTAAAATGGAAGTGGTACCTATCTGTGTATATCAATGAATTGCATCCACCAGATTTAATCAAAATATTTAATTCTTCCCCCTCATAATTTCCCAATGCTTTGATCCCTAACTTTCTACACATTTCAATCTCATCCTAGATTATGACTTTCATTCTGAATTGATCTCAAACATTTGAATATTCTAAATTCACCCCCAAACCATAGCCTTATTTTAAATCAATCTTCAAATTTTTGAACATTCGAATTACGTCCTCAAAATCATTAAAAAGTTAATGGATGAAATTGGAACATTCAAAAGTTTGAGGGCTAATATAGAATGAGGGTCATATTTTGAGGTTGAATTTTAAAAAATAAAAAAATATAGAGATCAATTTAAAATGAGAATCATAATTTACAAATAAAATTAAAATATTAAAAAAATTAAAGGTTAATTTAAAACAAAAACCACAACTTTAAAACATATAATATAATTAACACAATAAATTTTTAACACGTGTCATAAAAATATACATATTATTATAATATTCTTTAATACATGTCATAAACCAATGTATATTATGGATTATCTAGATTAGAATACGGTAATAAGCTCCCACGAGATTATTATTATAATATTCTTCTAATGTTACGTTTTAGAATTTTTAAAAATCACATTAGAAATTTAAATTTAAATATTAAAAATATTTAATATATTTTAATTTATATAAAATTAAACCATGCATTCCACGGAAATACAATTAATTCATTACTACTATTAATATTAACATTATTAATCAAAGACCCTTTTAGCATAAATCCAGAAAGAGACAAGCATTATCAACTACAAAATCACAATTAAAAAAAATGGCCCAATACAATTACGGAAAGGGAAGGGTATTTCACCATAATCTATCGTATTTCAACTCGACCTAATTTTATAACATCGAATTATTATTTTTGAAAATATGAGTTTAGGTCAAGTTTTTCTTTAACTAGAGATAAGGTCAGGCCGAGTTAAGTTTAGATTTAGAGTGAAAAATTCTCGATTTGATCCAAAAATAATAGTATAATTGATCTTTATATATTTAAAGATAATTGATATAATACTCTTGTATCTATATATTTCAATTAGATCACTATTTTATTTAATAAAAATGGGAATATATTATGGTCGAGTGCGGTGTTTTATCTTAAGAATCAAGTTAAATTTTAGATCAGGTGAAACTTCCCTAAATTCGAATTGAGTCAGTGACAAGTGAAAAAAAATATTATATTCAAGTTGAGTTGGGATAAACTAAAAATGATTCAATATGATTCATGACCATCTTTAAATATAATTCTTTTTTTAAATAAAAAATAGAATTAATTATGGTAGAATCATAGGAAGCTCGTGCTCTCGAAAACAGCTGTCTTTATAGGGTTATATACCCCACAAGAACATAGAAATTAATATGCATACCACCCAGGATTATGACAGTGACAAGCCAACATGAACCCAATCAGATACTACACGAGGTCTCTCATTTCTCATCTAAATAATATACTCTCTTCATCACATAATTTGTGTCATATTAACTATACACATAGTTTTAAGAGATATATATATAATCAATAAAAATATAAAATTATATTTAAAAAATAATTGATAGATTTATTTTAGTAAGTGTAAAAAAGTGGGATATATAAGGATAAATAAAGAAATAAAAATGTTGTTGTTTGTTAATTTTTTAATAAGACATTTTAAATAAAATAATTAAAAAATACATCTAGTGGGATAAAAGAAATAATAAATATATAGAGGGAACTTAAGGTTCCATTTCTGTAAGAGTATATATATATAATATAGTATTAAAAATATTATGTATTTATGTTTTTTAAAGAAATATTTGACTAAAAATAACACAAATCAACTTACATCAGTAGTTAAATGAATAGATGTAGTTCTTAGAGGTCATGGATTCGAGTACCAACGATTGTAAGGGTGATTGAACATTCATTGTCAAATGGTTGAGAGTAATTAGAGCAAATACTATTTTGTAATCACCTTTAGCTTAATCAAAAAGAAAAACATTTGACTAAAATTATACTTAACTGGCCAATAAAATTAACAATAATTTATTTTTTAAAATATATTGGATTTCCTTTTTTTTAGATAGAGAATTATGATTCCTTTTAACTTAATGAAAAATAATTTTAGTTTTTTATTATATGATATCAAAATTAATTGTAACGTTTGTTCAAATAATTATTTTGATTTATGACTTCTAGAAGATTTTAGCCTTCAACATTTTAATTTTTTTTTAATAAAATGCATATGTTAGATGAAAAGCTTAGTTGACTAATGATCAACATATATTATTGACATGATATTTCTACATGTACTAAATTATTGACATGATATGTACCATATCCAAGAAGATGACTTAGGACATGATATGTAACCTAAAATGATGTTGTGACATATGCTACATCATTCAAGATGATAATGTGACATTTGCCACTTCATCCATGATGATAATTAACTTAGAGATTAATTTAAAGTAAAAATTATAATTTAAATACATGCAATGTAATTAATTTTTATTATTAAATAAGATAATATTTATGTATTTGGACATATTAGAACAATTGGAAGAAAGTATTATCTTTTGTAATTTAGTGTATATTCAGGGTCAGTTTAACATTGTTTTTGGAAAATGACTTTTAAAAATGTTGGAGAAAAGAACATTTAAAAGTGAATCTCAAAAGTACAGTTTAAATTTTAACTATTTGATATTGTTATCAAAGAGTACTTTTAATAAGATAAAATGTCACTTTTAATATTATATTGTAAATTAAAAATAGATTAATTTAAATTATTTTAAATTTATTAATATTTTAATATATAAAAATATCAAATTAAATTATAAAAATATAAATATAATAAAAACATAAAATAAATTTAAAAGTTTTTTTATTAGGCAAAACGTAATTAGATATAATTAATATATAATTTATAAAAACAATTGAATTTTAAATTTTTTTCTGTATGAAGGAGTGGAGCCCATGCATCATAATAAGGGTAAAAGCATAATTTGCTTCTAAACGGAAATTTAAACAGGAAACATTAAAAAACTCAGTTGTTATGGTTGATTTAAAACCACCGTTGTAAAATGGTTTTACCTTTAAATTTTATCCATTTGGTAATAATTTTGATTTCAAACCTAGGCAGCATTACCAAACGAACCATTACTTTACTAATTAAAATCTATTAATTTCATTAACTAAACATAATAATTACAAATAATTGAACCTAAAATTAATAATTGTTTGGCTTTTCGAAGAAAGTCTCGGACTAAAAACATTCATGCATAAGACTTAGACATTATAAAGTGATTTAGGAAAAAAGAAAGTGGGAAAAAAAGAGGAGGTATTACTGCAGTTCCTAACCTGTGAAGGTTCGAGGGAGGCGCGGCCTTTGGAAAATACAATAACACCGCCAAATAAACCTATTTCCTTCTCTTTCACTCTCTTGTTCCAAGGTCAACAGGTAGTTGAGCTTGCAATGTATATGTGTTCAAATGTCTAGTCTTCAACCCTGATGGCACAGTTTCTGCCTTTGTTTGATTTTTCAACCTCAAATAGCCCTAAATCTCTCCACATTTTTCTTTCTTTCTTGTTAGGCTTCTTCTCTTGATTTTTCCTCCTCACCTTCGTTGTCCACTTCCCCGAAAACAAGTCACAATTGGTGCCGTGTAAGCCATGGATCTTGAGTCATCTGACAGACAAGTGTTGGAAGGAAAACAGATGGGTAATAATGGTAAGCTTCCTTTTTCATACTCTTCATCTTCTCCTCGGAACAAAACACAGCTATCTCCTCTTGGAAACTCCGCACGGGAGCCTCATCAGATTCACGACAACCACCACCAAAGGAGTTCCGACTGGTTAGGCAACACGTACGACGCTGAAGAGGATAAGGAAGAAACCATCACGGCCTCTGCAAGTGAAGCTAATTCTGCAGTCATGGACTCAGATTCAACGCTTGAGCTTAGGACTAGTGCAAGTGACAACATCGATAAAGAACACTTGTTCGACAAAGTAGTCACTCCAAGCGATGTGGGGAAACTCAACCGGCTTGTTATCCCAAAACAACACGCTGAGAAGTATTTCCCGTTCGATTATTCCACGAACGAGAAAGGTCTAGTTTTGAATTTCGAGGACAGAAATGGGAAGCCGTGGAGATTCAGGTACTCTTATTGGAATAGTAGCCAAAGCTATGTTATAACCAAAGGGTGGAGCCGTTTTGTCAAGGATAAGAAACTAGATGCCGGCGATATAGTTTCTTTCCAGAGAGGAGTCGGTGAGTTGGGTAAAGATCGTCTTTTTATTGATTGGAGACGGAGACCTGATGCAGCGGAGACGCAGGTGTCTTTCCTTCCCCATCATCAGCAACACCATTTCCCCTTGCACCGCTCCATCCCATGGAGTCCATTGCTAATGCGACGGCCACCACCTGGAAGAGAAGATCACTTGCACTTGTCACAGATACACCCTCTTAACCAACATAGCTACTACGGAGGTTACGTGGTTTCGGCAGCCCCACAAATGGAAATGGGAATGATGGAGTGGCAACAGCAAGGTGGAGTTGTAGAGCCGGTTGCGTTCGATTCGGTGCCGGTGGTCCCAGGCAAGGCAGCAGCCAAGAGGTTAAGGCTTTTCGGGGTGAACATGGATGTGATATCCACAACTACCTTAGAAAACGCTACAATGGCATCGCAGCCTCTTCAACGCTCTTCATCGTCTCAGCATCCTCTCCAATTAAGGCTCTACAATGGCACCCCACTGTCCCCCTCTGAGTTTCTTAACCCCGACAAAGGGAAGGCTTCCGTGTCCTTGGACTTAGATACCTGACCACAAGCTATATATTTGGCATAAAGTTTCTTCAACACCAAGGATTTAAATTGTGACTGAAACACCATTGCATTTATCGCGTTTTACTTTTGCTCTCTTTTGGTCTAGGTTGTTGTGCTTGTTGGGCACGCCCGCAGGTTTTGCAGGGGATTTTAAAAGGTATAACAGGCACACACACTATCAACTCTCTTGGAAAATGCAGATGCCATCATATGCAAATATAAATTTTTGTAATTCTTTTTGTAGTATAGTTATCTGGTTAGCCTTCACTGCATGCTTTCCATTTTCTTCTTCTCAATATCACAAATATTATGACTGCAAGTTGCATATTGGCTGCCATAATTGATTGAACAGTTTTCTACTTTGTTTACTGCAAATAGCTTGGAATCGTAGACAGAAAAGACCAAAATACAAGATGTGTGAATCAAATCCCGTGCTGGTATAGTACCAAAGAAACAAAACATATTTGCTCTATACCTCCACGAGACTGAAGAAATTAATTAGTTTATCCTTAAAATGGGGTTTCAGAGTTTATCTCTGGTGCTGATATATGGTAATGAACCATATAATTACAAGCTTTCGGGAGAATTTCAGTTTTCTCATAACAACGTTAAGAGAGTATGCATTCAAGTTAATATGTTGATAGCATATATCTCTCCACTTTCTCAACACATCTATATGATAGTTAATGAAGTAAAATTTTCAGACTTTCTCTTCTTAGTTTTCTCATTCTCAAAACCCTAAATGAAAACATTATTTAATAACAGTCGCATTCTTTTATTCCAGTTAGAAAAGACTAGTGAATACTTTTGCACACAGCTTCTTTATTTTATACTATTTTTTTAGTTTGGTTATTGAATTATTTTTGTAATCCCTAAAATTTAGTCCAAACATATTCAAACAAGACATGATTCTTGTTAGGTATGGCTCATAAATATACCGGTAAAGAGGACATGGGATGGAGCGGAGTGAGTGAAGCGAACGCAACGAACATCAACTGTCCTTACGAAGAAAGTCTTGTAGTGGGGTTAGGATTATGTGGGTTTGGTACGGTACAAGGGTTAATTTTGTAATTATGTACCAGGTTTATCTATTATAAATAGAGATGTAACCTAAACCTATGAGATATTGAATAAAACTTCTAGCGCCGCCTAGGCACCGAGGACGTAAGCACAATGTTGAACCTCTTTAAAATTCTTGTGTTCTTTCGTTTTTCTTTACCCGATTCATCAACAATTGGTATCAGATGTCAGGAGCAAAATTCGAAGTTGCGAAATTCGATGGTCAGGGTAACTTCGGATTATGGCAAACAAGGGTGAAGGATCTGTTGGCGCAACAAGGGATCCTGAAGGCTTTGCGACCTACAAAGTCGACGTCAATGGAGGAGGAAGATTGGGAAAAATTGCAACAGCGAGCGGCAGGAACCATACGGTTATGTTTGGTGGACGAGGTTATGTATCACGTCATGCATCTTTCGTATCCAGATGAAATTTGGAAGAAGTTGGAAAGTCAGTTTATGTCGAAATCCTTAACGACTAAACTGTATCTAAAGTAGTGTATGTATGGGTTGAAGATGCAGGACGATCATGATTTGGCGCAACACGTGAATGTCTTCAATCAAATCGTTTCTGATTTGGCTCGGCTTGATGTGAAAATTGAGGATTAAGACAAAGCGATGATTTTATTATGTTTGATGCCTTCCTCTTACGAAAACATGGTGACTACTCTTACATATGGGAAAGAGACTATCAAAGTTGAAGAGATTACTGTAGCCTTGTTGGCTCACAACTAGCGGAAGCAGAATGCAGGGGAAAGCTCTCAAGCTGATAGCTTATATGTCAAGGGTAATCGAGACTGTGGACGGAAGCCAGAGAAGGCAAGGTCTGGGAAGCAGAATTCGAGATCCAAATCCAGGGACAAGAAGACAATTCACTGTTACAAGTGCAAGGAGGCGGGACATATGAAGCGAGACTGTTCGAAGTTGAAAAAGCAGGCTGATGAGAAGCATGATGACTCATCCAAGTCTGTGAATGTGGTCGAGGATGACAATTCTGATTGCAGTGAGGGTGATATGCTCTCTATTTCAACGACTCAATTGACGGATGTTGGATTCTTGATTCTGGATGTTCTTATCACATCACGCCAAATAGGGAATGGTTTTCGACATACAGGTCGGTTAATTCTGGTTCTGTATGTTTGGGTGATGATCGATATTGCAATATTGTTGGTATTGGTGAGGTCAGAATTAAGATGTATGATGGCTCTGTTCGGACGTTGAGTGGTGTTCGACATACCTCTGATTTGAAGAAGAATTTGATTTCTTTGGGCACTTTGTACAAAAATGGTTTTATCCCTAAGGCTGATGAGGATAAGGAAACCATTCGGATTATTAAAGGAGCTTTGACTGTGATGAAAGGAAAGACGACTGCAGGGAATATTTACAGATTGTTAGGGAGTACCGTTGTAGGTGGAGTTCATTTTGTTGAGTCCTGTGATGATACAACCAAACTGTGACATATGCGTCTTGCTCATCTTAGTGAACGTGGTATGGCTGAATTACATAAAAGAAATATGTTACATGGTGTTAAAAGTTGTAAGCTCGACTTTTGCAAGTATTGTGTTCTTGGTAAACATACTAAAGTTTGTTTTAAGACTGCAAAGCACACAACTGAAAGGATTCTTGATTATGTGCATTCTGATGTATGAGGGCCTTCCACGACATCGTCTTTGGGTGGATCTAGGTATTATGTTACCTTTATTGACGGTTTTTCATGGAAAGTTTGGGTGTATTTTTTGAAACAGAAGTCTGATGTTTTTGAGAAGTTCAAGCTGTGGAAAGCTGAGGTAGAAAACCAAACAGAATGAAAAATTAAGTGTTTGCGGTCTGACAATGGTACTGAGTACACAGATTCACAGTTTCTACACTTCTATAAGGAGTATGGGATCAAGAGTCATTTTACAATGCACAAGACACCACAACAGAATGATGTTGCGGAACAGATGAACAAGTCATTGAATAAAAGAGCCAGACGCTTGCGGTTGAATGCGGGGCTTCCCAAACACTTCTGGGTTGAGGCTGTTAACATGGCGTGTTATCTTATCAATAGATCGCCAAGGGCATCATTGGCTGGGAAAGTTTCAGAAGAGGAATGAACTGGTCATGATGTTACTTTTGATCACTTACGGATTTTTGGTTGTCCTGCTTATGTGCATGTATCTACTGATGAGAGATCCAATCTTGATGCAAAATCGAAGGAGTGCATTTTTCTGGGTTACAAGAAAGGTGTCAAAGGATTCAAGTTATGGGACCCAATTGTGGAGAAAATTATGATCAGTAGAGATGTTGTTTTTTATGAACAACCCATGTTACAGCAGAAGAAAGACACGACAGTGGTAGATTTCGAGCAGTTTTTAGTTGAGAAAACAGAAACCTCTCAACCGACTTCTGGTGGTTCCGCTATGGATGATTTGCAGGATTATAGTCTCATGAGAGACAGGGTGAGACGGACTAATATAAAGCCTCCGAACATATTGGGTTTTGAAGACTTGGTCTCTTTTACACTTACTGTTAGCAGTGATGATCTGGTTACTTTTAATGATGCAGTTACTAGTCAGGATAACGACAAGTGGATGACTTTCATGATTGAGGAGATGGAGTCTTTGAATCACAATCGTACATGGGAGTTAGTTCGCCTTTCTGAGGATAAGAAACCAATTGGTTGCAAATGGGTGTATAAGAAGAAACCAACAGTAATAGAAAAAGAGGAGGAGAAGTTCAAGGCTCATTTGGTAGCAAAGGATTTTTCACAATAGAAAGGAGTTGATTATGATGAAATTTTTTCTCATGTGGTCAGGCACACTTCAATCCGAGCAGTACTTGCATTGGTGGCTAGTTTGGATTTGCATTTAGAGCAGATGGATGTAAAAACTGCTTTTCTGCATGGTGATTTAGAGGAGCAAATCTACATACGACAGCTTGAAGGTTTCACTCAACCTGGAAACGAGCATTTAGTTTGCAGATTGAAGAAATCTTTGTATGGGTTATAGCAGTCTCCGAGATAGTGGTACAAACTGTTTGACTCCTATATGATCAAGATTGGCTACAAGCGATGTGAGTATGATTGTTGTGTCTATGTTAAGAGCCTTGATGATGGTTCTTTTATTTTTCTGTTACTATACGTTGATGATATGTTAATTGCTGTGAAGAACATGGATGATGTTATCGGTTTGAAAACTTTATTGAGTCAGGAATTTAATATGAAAGATTTAGGTGCTGCAAAGAAAATTCTTGGAATGGAAATTTGCAGGGACAAAGACTCAAGGAAAATGTGGTTATCTCAACGGGGTTATGTTGAGAAAATGCTAGAAAAGTTTGCGATGAGCAGTGCAAAACCAGTTAGCACTCCATTGGCGAATCACTTTAAGCTCTCATCAGAACAGTGCCCTAAGACATATAAGGAAGCTGAAGATATGGCAAAGGTTTCGTATTCTAATGTTGTTGGTTGCTTGATGTATGCAATGGTATGTACTCGTCCTGATTTAGCTTATGTTGTTAGTCAAGTTTGTAAGTACATGTCTAAACCTGGTAAGCAACATTGGGAAGCAGTCAAGTGGATCTTTCGGTACTTAAAGGGTACTGTGGGACATGGAATTGTTTTTGGTAGTCAGCAGGATAATCATTTGGTTGTAGGATATGTGGATTTAGACTATGCAGGTGACTTGGATAATAGAAGATCTACGACAGGGTATGTCTTTACTCTTGGTGGAGGGCCTATTTGTTGGAAGTCTACTGTACAATCTGTTGTGGCACTATCTACAACTGAAACTGAATACATGGCAGCGGCTGAAGTTGCAAAAGAAACTTTATGGCTTACTGGTCTAGTGAAGGAGTTGGGTGTTCAACAATGTGGAGTTCAATTGCTTTGCGACAATCAAAGTATTATTCACTTGGCTAAGAATCACGTATATCGTGCTAGAACTAAGCATATTGATGTACGTTTTCACAAGATCAGAGAGTTGGTTGCATCTGGAGGGATTTTGTT